ACGAACAAGGAGGTTTGTTGGCTTCAAGTACCCCAGTAGCTGGAATACTCAGAATAGAGTAGAAAGATAATTTGAAGACTATCTTTGAACTGCTAGTTGAACACACGGTAGCAGATAATACAAGATAATTAAAGATGCCTTTATTTGAGTTTATGTGTGATTCCATGAGGCAATGTTTTGAGCATCGCTAGCTGCCGAGACAATGATCTGGTTTCAATCTGCAATCAGACACAAGATTAGTTGTTTATTCGAAACATCATCCTCATTGCTTATCGAACTATCCCCTTTCGATAAATTCTTGGATCGCCTCCTCAGTAAATTTCACAGCTTGTAGCGACTGACAACATCAGTTCTGTATTGGTTTATCATTCTTCTTCGGCTTCCTGCAGGGTACTTCTATCTGGCCCTAACCCCTTTAACTTGCCATTCTTGCAGTCCAGTCATGGTTGCAGATTCACAGTCATCACTTCATTCTCTGAAGTCTTTAGTGATTTTTATTATCCTACCCCCAGATGACGACACATGACAGTCCAACATTTTAGAACCTGGTAAGACTGGGTTTCCCGGCTTTCTGATGCTTTTAACGACCCCAAAACATCTAGACCTGGCCCTAACCCCAACCCACCTACGTCCCACGAGAGAGTGCAACCTAGGTCCCACGACTGCATGCAGCCTAGGTCCCACGACCGCATGCAGCCTATCTACCACTCCCTGACGTATTAGATTGTCCCGTGACCCGTTGATTTCCACTGTCTAGAGTAGGATATTAATAAAGCACCAAGTCTTCTCGTAGAGCATTCAGTATACCAGCCTGGTTCATGGCGCGTTCGCCTTCGACAGCAGTCTCACTTGCAAGCCTATCACCTTGCTCATGTCCTTGTACACGTGCATGCCCTGGCAGGAAAATAATACAGATTTGTGTCAGCTGTGATCGCTCATAGAAACCCATCACTGGTCTTTAAGCTCATCCCATCTCTGTCTCGCTGAGTCTACTCATGAAGTCACTGAGAAAACTCTAGAATAAGACACAGTCTACTTCGTAGCCCCATGTACACAAAAGTTAAGATTAGCGAATCAGCCATGTGTAAATGTGGATCAGCACCCAGACAACAGATCACGTCCCCCAAGACTGTTCCAAATACAACATATAAAGGCACAACTATTGGTCAAGAGAAACGTCGGTGCAAGCCAAACTTTACGGGCAGCTGGTTGAACTGCAAAAGACAATGAAGCTCATACAAGAGACAACGCTGCAGATAGAGATTATCTTTTTCAAGCTAATGAAAGAAGAAGAAGCAGAAACAGAAAGCATGCCCGAGTGAGGGTCTTGTCTCTAGCCAGATTACTGCATTATCATGTAGCAGGTCCTTTGCAAAACGTCGCTCACATCACAGCATGCCTGAAAGAAACTTGGTCTCTTGCCAGGTCTCCCGCCTCGTGCACTTTCCCTACGCTGTTTACTACCCAATCTTCCTTGATGTTCAGATCTTTTCTTCTTAGTCCATGATATTTTGAGGAATCTTCCTCAGCAATTCAGCTTAGAAGCCCTTGTTTTCTTGCTGAACGACACTGATACTGGCGTGCCAACTCATAGCATCGCAGGGCTCTCCCCGAATCTTTCTAATGTTCATTTTCACAAACCATAAAATGATATTACGTCAGTGACTTGTCACAAAGTTAATCAAATATACACACAACAATAAGGTAGCCCCTCGGCAACAATATGAACCAGTGGTTTTCAACCTGAGAGGCGCGCCTCTGGGCGATGCAAAGAAGTTGGAAATGGGCCGTCGAGCCGTTTTGAAACTGGGTGCATTTGTATTTGGAAACGAAACAGCACAACTAGCTTGGTGTGGAGAGTGATCTCCGACGTGCCTTGTCAAAATCAGGCCAACTAAAAGCCGATACCATCAAGACAAAATAGTGTCAGCCACAACAATGATATAGAGGCACTAAATTACCAGTTATTGGTGAATGCTTCATATTTCCTTTTTTTTATTATTGGTGATTGCTTCTTTATCTTATTTGACACTTTCTGGGTTCATCTGAGTAAAGATTCGACATCACAACATGCTCATATTGGCTCAGTCTTCATGCTCAAGAGGCAGCAGAAGAATCTCGATACTGATGGTAACTGTTCTTATCTGGTTAACTACTCGTCCTGCCCCCTTCCCCTATCCTTTTCCGAGACTCGAGTGTTACCCGGAGCTCTTAGACACTACCCGCTGCAATATTCTCTCCTGGTACGGGGGGTTTCAGTATCTTCCATTGTATTTGTTACCTCGGCTCACATGCGAGAGATCCCCTTTGCCTTGTGCAAATGAGGCCCGTCCAGCCAACATATCTGTCTGTTCATTGATAGACACGCCTGAATGCCCAGACAATATATAAATATATATATATATGTGTGTGTCTATATGTGTGTGTGTTTGCGTGTGTGTAACTCTCACCAGCTGCATATGGTCTTAACATATACTCAACTTAAAGGGGAAAAAAAGGTTTAAAACCACACGTTTAAACTTTAAACTATGAGATGGCTGTTACCTATGACAGCTTCATCAAAGACTTTCTCTTCAAGGTACTCGGCGCCAGGGAAGTTGAGTCCCTGCATGGGGGAGATAATCAACAATCCGTGCCTCCATGTGTGCTGTAGGGAAGAGAGTTGACCCTTTGGTTAATACTGTATAACAATATGTTTTGAAACAGTCAAATACTGTTCTGAGAAAACAAAATGCATACCTTGATTTTTGGACGAGCAATGGGGTACAACAGCAACAACAGGGAGACTCCAATGCCAATAAGAATACCATACTGAAACAAAGATGTAGACGTTTGTTTAGTAGTCATAAAAAGAGCACAGAAGAATAAATTTTTAGTTATTCTGAAGCCCTACCCTGGCTTTGCCAGGGCCTTAAATTCACCCGGGCTTGAAGTATGGCCAAACAGCTGAACGGGGTTTCAGGGACCTCTCCACGGGTGATCCTCATCCGCATGGTAGCACTTTGTGTCACCTGGTGTTTATCGCTTGTGTGATGTCCTGGTGGGGTACAACTAACATATTTACATCATAGCACAGAAGGAAAGTTCACGTGCCCCTAATGTCAGACGCAATATTTTAATGTTTCAAAGCCACACCCTGGCTATTGCCGGGAGCCCTAGTATAACTCCAGCTTATAGGTTGAACGGGGTTTCTGCTCCGGGTCATACTCATCCGAATGGTGGCACTTTGTTTCAGTCAATGTTCTTCTATGTCTCCCTCGGCATCTTGGTGCTTCAACTGACATGTTGTACCATCCCGCTGCCGGCATCCTTGGATTCATTGTCACTAGGTGACCTAACCATTCAAGTCTTTGTTTCTCAATCATTTTAATGATGGATATTGTTCTAATCTCTTCATCTGCTCACACTGACTACTACTGTTACAGTATGCACTACTATTTACAAGAATGAACACACTACTCACCTCGATTCCGACAACCAATGAACAAACAAAAGTAACAACAAAAGACAGAAGATCCCATTCTGAAATAAAAACAGACATAAATCAATAAGAGCCTGCGCCGATCCTTGAGATATAGTATCAGAAAGATACCACTACAACGTGTTAGTTTAGAAATGTCATAGTATATAAAAAAAATATGCTTGAACAATATCATCATCGTTATCAAGCGCCTTGCCGACTGGCTTGGGCAATCAAGCCTCTCCCCAAACTGGCATCTTCAACACCATCAATCAAATCGTGTAATACTAATACATCTTCATGCCATGACTGCCTTTAAGAATGTTCACGCGTTGTCTTCCTGTCTCCTTTCCTACAGATTGGCATGCATGACTTCACTGACCAAATCAATCGAATCATGTAATACTAATCACATCTTCACTTGCATTTCTTTTATGACGAAATATTTTTTTAGCCTTTAAGATTTTATTTCATTTATTCCGCATCACATTTTTTAAACGCGTCACGTCACCCTTAAGAGATCTACTTCCTGTTTGAGTCTTTCACTTGTGTTTGAAAAAGGCTGCCCACCGAAACGTGGTGTTTTGTACGTCCCATTTTGGTACATAAATTTCTCTGGATTAATTTAAATATAAGCAGCGATGGGAATGTGTGATTGTTTTTTCCTGTGATCCCCAGTGATAAACATATGTTGAAAATCTTTGTTACTGTGACTGCTGTTGAGACTGTCTGGCGTTACATTGCTAGAGATCATTTTTCAATGACTAATGTAAGCACTGACAATGAAGCGCTACATTCTACATTAAATATGAGGTACTGACCACACTGAGACATCCTAAAACGGTACCAGAGAATGTTGTGGGAAGTCTAGGAGGTCGACTTGATTTTGACGACTTCCTTAAGGAGTGACCATAGGTCTATAAAACATATGAGCCTAGCACTTTATGCCCAATATGCCATTGACATGAACAGGATCTTTTATGTTGTGTAAACTGGCAAGTTAACATTACAGGGACTCGCGGTAATATACTGTCCGGGCATGCAGGAGTGATAGGCAATGAAAGATTTGATTTTTTGGGCCCCCCCCCCCCCCCCTTTCCCAAACCGATAACTATTGATACACTAGTAGTGGAGAAAGAAGACATTTGAAGACCATTTGTGAACAAAAGCGGAAGAAGACACGAGGTTAGATTACATAACATGTTTAATTGATAGGCGTGACTATCCATTTTTGACAACAAACAAAATACATACACACACAATTTCCCCCAGTAACAACACGGGTGGGTTAAATAGGATACTGTTTTTGAAATTACTACTACTATATGTGTTAGACTGTTGAACTTTAGGAGTTGATTAAACAACGAGGGACGAATGGTCGTATGAAAGGAAGAAAACGACGAGTTTGTAATCAGTGTGCTACGAGAACAGTTAGCATCTACACCTTGGGATATTTGCTGCGGGAGACTGAGTATCTATGGGTATTTCCGGTGTGTTATGATGTTGATTTCTAAATCAGTAAACTGGCTGTGCGACTTACTGTTGGCCTTCCACAGTTTGAGCACAATGCGACAGTCGACCATCTGTAGGACAGCAGCAATGATGACAGCAGCCAGTGCTGACTTGGGTATGTAGGAGAACCAAGGGGTGAGAACTCCTAGCGACAGCAGCACCAGCGCACCTGTGAATATACCACCCAGGGGTGTCCGCACACCTGTCTGAGAGTTCAAAGCCGTTCTGTGATGAAAGAGAAAACACTTCGGATGCAAAACGTAAATTTATGAGCAGGTAGGTGTTATTGAAAATTCACTCTGTGTGGTCTCCGTAGCGAAGTGGTCAGGCCGTTTGACTCGCGCTCTGAACGTCGTGGATTCGTTTCGGTTAGTGCACGAGTGCATTTTTTTAAGTTTCCGAAGGAAGTCGATAGAGCTAGGGATGTCGTAGTTTGGGTGACACTCTTTCAGCTAGCCATTCTGTGAAGATTGACAGAGCTATGTGGGTTAACTTGTGTGCAATGAAGTCCATGCTCTCGACTTTTGATCCGCCCGTCTTCATTATCCCAGAACCCCACGATTGGGACATGAGTGCACCATAATGGAGACTTCCCCACGATTGGGACATGAGTGCACCATAATGGAGACTTCCCCACGATTGGGACATGAGTGCACCATAATGGAGACTTCCCCACAATTGGGACATGAGTGCACCATAATGGAGACTTCCCCACGATTGGGACATGAGTGCACCATAATGGAGACTTCCCCACGATTGGGACATGAGTGCACCATAATGGAGACTTCCCCACGATTGGGACATGAGTGCACCATAATGGAGACTTCCCCAAGATTGGGACATAAGTGCACCATAATGGAGACTTCCCCACTATTGGGACATGAGTGATTGGGACATGAGTGCCCATAATGGAGACTTCCCCACGATTGGGACATAAGTGCACCATAATGGAGACTTCCCCACGATTGGGACATAAGTGCACCATAATGGAGACTTCCCCACGATTGGAACATAAGTGCACCATAATGGAGACTTCCCCACGATTGGGACATGAGTGCACCATAATGGAGACTTCCCCACGATTGGGACATGAGTGCACCATAATGGAGACTTCTGTTACCAAGGTATCCAACCCCTTCCCCCAACCGACCCGACATGTTGTTGTTGTTCATCAATACATTTAATACTCAGTTCCACTGTGTTTCATTTCAAAACTTGTCTTAAATTTAACAAGCGCCACTTAATGTGACGTCAGAAACTGAGGCTCTAAAAGTCCAGATTAAGTAAAATTAATAGCCTGTATGTTACTGGAGTATGGTAATGTGGTATATTGTCAGTTATGTGATGTTATACGTCTATGATTTCTATTCTGTTTATTCAGTTTATATTTTCTGTTGTATTTATTCATTGATTCATTCTCATTTATTCATCATCATAAATTTTCACTTGTGCCGTTAACATTTTTTTTTTAATTTAGTGCATGTGTTTGTTGTTGTTGAGGCTGCATTTTAGCTTGATGACCGAACCATTCGATCTTCTACTTTTCATTGAATTTGGTACACGGTGGTTTCCACAGCTTGTCTGAGAGATTCATATGATTTTTTAAATTATAAGTTACCGTTCTGTGTGTCGGATTCGGGCCCTATTCATGAAAAGGGTGGGTGGGTTAGCCAAGTTCCCTCTGACAAGCATATCGTCAAATGGGGTTACCCTATAAGTCCAATTTCATCTTTTGAGAGGTTAGGAACCAACAGTCTGCGTAAAAATAAGCCACATCTGTGAAATCAATCTGCATGCAAAAATCAGGTTCAGGAATAAGACCAAAGAAGTGGGTGGACAACCATAAGTTTCAGCCGACGCTTACAGTCGCTGAACGCTAAGAAGAGGAAGAAAAAGAAGTTAATGCTGTAGTTATGTACCCGACAGATGCACTGTAATGTATGCACAGATAAAAAGAGTAATATGGATGTCTTGAAAGAAGCTGACTCACAAAGACAACTGATTGCCCACATCCGAAAAAGACAATCTACATTCTTTGGCCATGTCATGAGAAGGATAAAAATCGGAGTATATCGTGTCCGTGAGAAATCTGGGGGGTGGGAGGGGGTCGGACAAGAGGCAGAGGGGGACCGAGAAATACGATGCTGGACCCAACAAAGATAACTATTGCCCACATCAGAAGGAGAAGATCTACATTCTTTGATCGTGTGCTGGGAATGAGAAAACTCAGGTACATTGTGAGGAAATAACAACTGGAAGGGGAAAGAGGCAGAGGGAGATCAACATAGAAGATTCTGTACAGATTGATATCATAGGATGGAAGATCATCTGTGTCAGAACTGATGGACAGTACAGGAAATAGAAGGATACTGACATGACTACCAACGCCACGAGGTTTGGACTAGGAGAAAAAGAATGCAGCGGCGAGATACACTGAAATACGAGTGTGGCAGGGTGTCAAAGGGCTGTTGATAATTTGATTTGGCTGCACGTGAACTAAAAATCTGACAAGTTCGTGAACATGAAAGGGACGGAACAGGAAAAAAATAGCCTCTTTGCTTCCCGTCCTCTGGACTGACCAGTCGCTCTGGAGATAAGTGACTGAGTTGAGAGATGGGCTGGCAATAGTTTCTCGCTGGTGGTACAGCTGAGTAGTTACATGGTATTAGATATAAATTTCCATAATAGTTAATATACATAGTAAATTCTCTTTAGTTGTCATATGTGTTAAACCTAGATTTCTATTGTGCATCCTCGTTTGGAGATACTTTTATTGCAGGTCGATGGAGGCAATTTACTGATCTGGTGGTAAGTTGGAGCTTAAACGCACATGCTAATGTATTTCGATATTTGCCACCACTGATGTAATTTTCTGAACGTATGTGTTCATTATCATATTTCCTCATCAACTGGAGTTGGTAGCACATAGTCTGTTCGAACACGACGTTGGTTGCTAATGTATAGTTAACTGCAAAACAGTTTTGTGTTCAAGAAAATAAACAGATGTTGAATGTGGTGGTTACATTCATTTGCTTGATTCAAGAAATAACTTGTAGTACGTATACGTGGTCTATCTACGCGTTGCCTATTTAGTTGTACTCATATATTGTTGTTGTGTAGCACAGTAATTCAGATAATCTCTGTATGGGTTATGATCATATTTCATGGTCCTTGCACAGAGAACGCTTGTCTTTTCTTTAATTTTTCTGTTTTTGCTGTTCAGCTAGGAAATGCTTATTGTCCTAACCAAATTTTTTTTCCTCATCTCTCCCTACCTCTCTTTTTTTTCCCCCTTCTCCTTTTCCCGCTAGCACACGAGGTATCTTCAAAAGGTTCCTGGAATTTGTGTACTGTCTACAAATAAGTAACAGTGTAATTATTTACACTCAATGGACATCTAAGCCGATTACAGCCACAACACTCCTCATAGTGCCAGCTATGTAACTAGCCCTACGAAACTATTCACCATAATCTCTTTGAGTGCCCAAAACTCAAAGAGACTAGAAGAACGCTACTCCCTCCGAAACCAGACAAGTGGAACACCTGGTATGGAGGAAAAGAACAGCTTGTGAAAACATGTAAATTCCACTACATGGTATTGGGCCAAAGGGTGAAAGCTCATGCACTGTTGGATCATAACAACAACAACAATAACCTTTAAAATAGTTCCCTTCAACAACTACAAAGTTTTGCCAGTGTTCATGCAGTTGTTGGAAACATTGCTGGAACCCAATCGTTGTCATCCGTCTCAGCTGCTTCGACGCACTGGCGAAACACCCTCGGCATCCTTGAATCGCCGCCCTTTCAATGCATATTTTAGCCGATGGTAAAGAAAAAGAAAACTGTTTGTTCTCTATTTCCAGGGCGTTTCCTTCTTCGCGGCAGTGAAGTGTGCAATCTATTGTTCTGTCATCAGAAAATAGTCCGCAAACACTAAATGAAAAGCTGACAAACCTGGTGAAGCTGCCCGTGATGGGATACGAGGAGACAAAAGAAGCCAACATGTTTGTGATCCCACTGGCCACCATTTCCTGGGTCGGATCTATTTTGTAGTTATTCACCCTCGCTGAAAAGTGTACAGAAGCATTCAATCAACGGTTGTTGTTGTAGTGGCCGTGTTTGACTATATGGTAGTCGTCTTCTTCTTCCTCTCAAAGTTGACCAGTTGTAAACACCGGCGGAAAGTTTTGGTTTTTCGTGCACTTCTGGTCTATAGTCTTGTACCAAAATTTAAATATTGCGTGCACCCGTTTTACTGATCTGACTTATTTGTATGTAAACTGTTAGTTCTTCGTCTCTGCAGTAGATGCACTCCGACTTCGAAGAAATCATGCTTAATCAGTAGCCTGTTACGACATATTTGTCAGGGGGATAGTGGGTCTATTTTTCCCCCGATAATAGGCTTCCGCAACATTACTACTGTGTGAATGGAAGATGAATATAATAATAAGTAAAGGAAAGATCCCATTTTATGCCTTTAGGCGCATCGTGCATTTGGGAAGAGCACCAATATTTTTACAGACTACAGGTGGGTAATGTGGTCAGCATTACACCGGCCGTCTTTACTTCCCCAGAACATTTACCCTGGTAAACATTTTAGGCTGGGTCTAAATGCGCCGCCCCATACCACGATAAAATCCACGCAGCCACAGTGGGTTTCGAGCGCGGTGTGTTGAAATAACGTGTCGGACTCCCAACGCCTAAGCCACAACTATAATATTATAAAGGTTATTTGCCTATCCTTTAAATGACGTTGCAGAACCAACCCCAACAGCCCCAGACTGTTGTGCGGTTTTTCTAGGCAAATTTACGTCCAGTAGTTTGCCATTGCTTCCTGGACGGACGGTCGGCTTTCTTGATAAATTTGTCGAAACCAACGCAAGGCGCATGGCCCGCAGCTGGGATCGAACCGGGCATCCCGGTATTACGAAGCGTTCGCATCGACTTAGCCAGAGAGCCGACTCTATAATAATTTGCTGAAACAAAAAGAAATTTTTAAACAGATACTTTTAAAGCGAATTCCCTAACTTGATTTAAAACGGCATTTGGTCAGCCTGCAAAATTATTGGTGGCAGGGAGGGATGGCGGGGGGCTGGGCAGCTGAGCTTCCAGGTTCCAGTATGTCTATGAACCCAGTGTCTCGTAATAAACGTTATACTTTAGGGTTAGACCCGAAGGTCGTGGGTTCGAATCCGAATGAAGCTGGATTTTTTTACTGCAAAAAT